CTGCCTGTTTTAGCAGAATGTCCACATCATTCAGGCAGTGAAATCAAATTTGACAACGCAAGTGGGTTCATTTCAAAATGAGGTTGAACCAAGCGTCATCAGCTCACCCATCGGATCACCCATTTTTGCTCACTTTTCCATTTTCCCAGGGAAGTAAGATATTGCACAGGGCAAGGACTGCACAGCAGCAGTCTGGGGCAACTGGTGCTTGTGAATATGAGTCCGTTGCATGGTAATTCTTCATTTACACATCTCTTCTTTGATCAACTTCAGCAGATTACTTCAGCAGCTTAGCATTAAAAGATCAAAAACGGGACGCACAATATAAATGTTCCTACTTCTCCTGGATTTTCATATCTGTTTTTATATTTTTAATAGCTTTCCTTCTCTTTTAGTGACTGGATAATGGAAATGGCTCTTGGGTAGAATTGCCAAGGGCCACAGAAAATTGTCACATAATGTTGCAATGTTTGGGTTTAAAGTTGTACTTATATTTAATGTTACATCACTGCACGTTGCTGCAACATACATCTTTAAAATCTTTAAGAAGTGAAATTGCAACAAATTGATTTCAGAGCATTTTTTTTTTTTTGGTAAAGTAGAAGGTAATAGTTCTCTAGGATTAAGATATGTGATGGTTCCAGAGAAAATCAACAAAGGAAGTAAATCTGCATGAAATTTCTTCTTATGTGTTAATGCAACTATACTTTTTTTTTTAAAGAATTTCTGGAGTGTCTACAACAACATCCCTCCTGTGACAAATTTGCCTCTGAGATGGAGTTACCATTTAATGAGGGGAGAGAGACGGCCGCTTTGGTAAGTGTATTATCATTAGACATTTCTGGGAGTGGGCAGTGAAAAACATTGAGTATATGGTGAAAGGAGGCAGGAGTGGGACAGAAGTGTCTTGTCACTTTTGCCTGCAAATGGCTGGACTTAGGCGATTTCTTTTGTAGGTCTATTAGGATCTTGTTAAGCTTAAAAGTTGCTTGTACTAAAGAGAGTCTATATTAAAAAGACTGTAACTTAATTGTTCACTTTTGAACATAAACGTAAATAAGAAATTAAATTATGAATTAAATATTAATGAATTACGTCTCTGAATTTCAATTCAAGAATACACAGAAAATATTTTATGGTACATTATGCTTTCATGTGGGTTGCTAGTATTTGAGTGATTTTTAACTTACAATTTTTTTTCTCTCTACTGAAGATAGCATAGTAACAATGCAAATGACTGATGCTCCTTGCCAGTTTGTACCCGTACAAAAGTATGGTTCATATGCCTATAACTGTTTATACAGGCTTAGATTAAAGCTAACTATAACTGTGTAACTATGCCATTAATATGTTGCAGCAAACTCCTGCAAGATTGTAGAACAGAAATGGAATAAAGTATAAATCGTTGTTATTTTCTTTTCAGAAGTTGAGTTTAGCGTACTTTCTTCCTGATAAAATTCCTTGACTTTCTAATTAGATAGCTTTAATATTTTATAAGGAGATTTTATCTTTTTGCCATCGTTTGCACTAGATAGTGGTTGAATTAAAGTTCTTTCACTTGATCATAGTATATCTAACTGGATGTTGACTTACTACAGAAGGTTTCCATCCTAATCTGAAGAAGCAAATAATTTTCTAAAGTAAAATATGTCTGAAAACATACAGTAGTTTTCTAAAAATACTGCAACTGATCAGAATAGCTAGAGTGGGTTGAAAGAAATATTGATGCCTGTACAAATCAAGTAGGCAGTGGTGTGCAGGTCTTGATATCTTTGTCAGGATGGGTAGGAACATTTTGGTTTTTTCTCTATTTTTAGTTTTGATTTGTTAAGTGACTAGTAGGGGTGTGAAATGCAAAGATCTTTTTTGAAAATGATCCATCTATTTTACGACTATCAGAATAAATGTATATACTGTATTTTAGGAAAGGGATTGCAAGATGTTGATATCATCAAAGCCCACGAACTTTTCAGTAATTATTGCACAGAAGCATTTCTCTGATTACGGTTACAGTGTGCTGGCTAATTGCAGCATTGTTTTTAGGAGGAAAAACAAATTCTGGAGTGCAAATTGAGGACTGCAGATTTTTGAAGGTGTCGTTCCAAAGTTTACCTCTCCTTTCCCCGATGTTTGTCTGGATTGGTGGAGCTCACTGATTAAGGGGAATCTTTATAAGTTTTGTATTGAACCCTTGTAGGTTTAGATATTCAAAAGGTGAATTTTAGGGTATGCCTGTGAAAACCTCAACTTTGCTTTTACAGAGTTTTAACAGAAAATGAAAAGCCCTAAGTGTAAAACTTATAAAAAGAAGAGTGACAGAATAAACCTGAAAAGTCTACAGGTTTGTTGTTGTGCCTTTGCCATTATAAAGCAGTTTAGTGATCACGTCTGCCCTGACCCCAGACAACTTCAGTCTTTACTTCAGTCTTTTTTCGTTAAATCAGAAATTAATTCCTAGCTGTCACAGAACTGAAATGAAGTGTGTTCACGTTCTTCTGTTAAACCGAATGAACTTGAAAGTAACGAGTTGCTTATGTGAAAATATGCCAGAGTTTTTCCAAAATAAAAGGTTACCATAGCAAAACATAAAATTGCTTTGTGGCCTGTTCCCATATAGTGTGCAGCCACTTCAAAGACAGTCTGTGGTCAGGGAAAATATAAGTATTTTCCAACATACAAAACTGAGGAGAGGGATTAGGTGTTAAGAGATGCGCTTCATATGAACAATGAAAGATTTATCTCTGATGTCAAAAGTCACAGCTTGAGTCATGCTACCTGGACTTAGTAATTGCGTTTCAAATGGGGTTTTTCTGGGAAAATTAAACCCCAGGCATATGTTTATCTAGGTGTGGATTTGAATGTTTATTTTACTAATATATTTCCCATAACCAGGGAAGAGGAAAGTAATTCCAAAGGAGGTGTATGGAAAATGAAGGTCCCTAAAGAAAGTACGGTACGTAATGCTCACTTTTTACTTAGAAATGATTTAACAAGGGGGTTCCTTTAAAATCTCTAAAATAAAGCTCTTGTAAAGTTTTTCAGTTTTAACGTCATCCAATGCAACAACCAAACACCATTTTAAAGTCCGTAGCCTTTTGTTTCAAGGGAGTGAGAGAGCATTTCTTTTTAGCTAATTCAGTATCCTGATTTTGATGATATTTGTGACTGTATGGTCAGTCAAGTGAAAGTTGAAGTGTTGTACTCCATTCCCATTGGGCAAGCATAGTATTTTATAAGTGCCTCTGTTTTCAAGATTCTGTGTGTTTACAGGTATGCAAAACAAAATATAAAAATCTTTTCCTGGTAATACTAAATGCTAAGTTATAGCCAGAACCTTAGTGATACTCTTCAAGAATCCACACACAGTTCAGCACGACTGCCAGGGTTTCGCTGAAGTGCCGAGTGCAGCTAAGCTCTCTTTTGGGCTCAGCAGGACTATTTGTGCTTAACATGCTTATATGCACCTGTGTTCAGATGTACGTAGCACTGTTTGCACTCTGCCTTTCTCGTGCCAGTTGAAGACTAAGGCTTTGTTGCCGTGGATAGCTAATCCCATCTCATGGCTTGCTCGCACTGGAAGGGGGAAGATCTTGCTCATTCTCCTTTCCCGGTTTCACTTGTTCTGGCTGTGGTGCTCATCGGATCATTCTGTGAGCCAGTTTAACACACAAAGATGGCAGAAAAGCAATTTTTTTTTTAACTTAATCAGGATGTGACCAGGAGATATGTTTGATGCGTGTATGGGGTAAAGGAGAAAAGAGGAAGAGTGGGGTAGTCCCCTTTGCTGGCAGCAGTGAGCTATCACATCACCTTGTGCATGTCTTGTGAAACTGTAGCACTTTTTTATTTGCTCTTTTTTATTTGCTCTTTTTTATTTGCTCTTTTTTATTTGCTCTTTTTTATTTGCTCTTTTTTATTTGCTCTTTTTTATTTGCTCTTTTTTATTTGCTCTTTTTTATTTGCTCTTTTTTAAATTTGCTCTTTTTAAAATTTGCTCTTTTTTAATGTTAAAATTTAAGAGCGAAAATCTGTTCAGGCATGTCATTGTTTTAGCCTTGCTGAAACAATTTTTCTGTGTTCCGGGCTGTGTGCCCCTATTAAAAGCATGTGAGTAACTTTTCCTGTGAACTGTCACAATGAAGAGATTTGACCTATTCACATGTGTTATTTATGTGTGTAAGTGTGTTCTGGATCAGGCCTTCAAATGCTAAAAGTGAAGTGCAAGAAAAATGTGACAGCCTTGCAGAAGGCATTAAACGCTGAAAGATGGTACTTGAAATTTCAGCCAAAAGTTAATTGATTTTGCCTGTGGGCTTTTTTTTCCATATGTGAATTGCAGCTTTCCTCCCCTCCAATCCTAAGTGATCACAAAAGACTGACATTTTCTTTTTCCTTTTATAATCCAAAGTGTGAATATTGTCAGAAGTGACAAGTGGTTTGAGGGCCTGCGTTTTTGGGTGGTGAATTTAGAGACCTCAGAGACATGTTTTTCAGAGGCTGAATGATCGCCACTTTTTGAAATAAGGGAACTTTCTGATCTCTCAAATTGAATGTCACAGATCCCTGGTCACTTCTGAAAGGTTTAATTGGAGATGAACTTGAGCCAGCTTTTAGTACCTTTTTAAATGGGGTAAATGATATCTTCATGCCTATTTCTCATTTGTGGCTTCTTATTTCTGGGGTCACACATCCACACGGTATCTCTTTGGCTAAGGAGAACTGCCTTGTACAGACCTAAGTAGAAAGGATGATCTGCTATAGCAGTGCTTTGGTGAGGGTGTGGAGGGAGGGAGATGTAGTTTTCCTAAAGATAACAGTCTTTCAGGTGGTATGACAAACTGACTGACAAAATACTGACATTTGAAAATGTTTTTGCATGTGTACAGTGACACTTCTGTATGTCAATTTTTAATACGAAAACTAATACTTTTTAGATCCTCATAAGCCTGATCCTGCAACTGCTTACTACTGGATGAAGTGCTTCCTACCCATGAGACCATTAGGACAACTCACAGTAGTGAGCACTACGCCTGGTAATGAGAGTATGCATGGTCAGTCTCAACATTCATATATGAACTCTTCCACCGGCAGGCAAAATACATCATGTCAAAGATTGTCACACTGACATCTTCAAACTGCCTCATGATGCATTGCATCAAATAGTTCTTTCCGTAGCCTAGATCTCTATTATGCATTGGATTAGTTGATAATTATCGAGTCTCAGAAATGCATGATGCTCATCCTTTGCATCCTAGAAGATGTCTTAGAAGCACTCAGAAACTCCATTAAAGCAGTTTGTTGGTTTATCTTCTTCATAGCTGCTTGCTTTTTGTTTTAACCTTGGTGCATTTGATTTTTTTTTTAATAGTACTAAAACCCAAGCTAACTCGAAATAGCAGAAGACAATTCCTTAGAAGCAGTATATGAAAAAGTAATTATGGTGGTATAGAAAAATACAGATGTTGCCATATTCTAAAAAAAAACCAAACAACCGCACACCTTGTAATATGTTGGAAAACAGATCCCAAGTTTTGAATGCTCTTTGGCTTAGGTGATAACAAATGTCAAAAGCAAACAACAATGTAATTAGCCTAACAGAGCCAAAGAAAACTGGCTGATAGCTTTTTTTCTCCTGTTTTAATTCTCTACTTAGCATTTAAATTTGTTGAAAGATGAACTTATTTCATAGTCAAGGAGAATCACACATGATGTTTAAATATAAATCCATTTAGTTTACTGGTAAGGTTTTCTGGTACTTTCCTTAAAGTGGATAGTAATTATTTTCCATAGAAACAAATCATCACGGGTAGAGCTTTATGGTGTTTTTATCATGTGAAATTCTTGGGAGAAATCTACTTTCATGCTTTACAATAATTAGTGCATTCAGGATGAGTCATGGACACAGATGTAGAGAAGGTAAATTTATACTTAAATATATAAAATGTTTATTAAAACAACTCTCTGTTATGGTATTTATTATCAGAGTTTAAACTTGCTCCAACTATACTGAAGAAATGAATGATATAATACACTGTGCAACTGTTCATTTGCATGCAGTTCAGTGCACAATATACATTTGTTCTGTCCAGAAAACCACAGAAAGAGAATGCGCTCAAAACTGAGCTAGCAAACCTAACACTTAAATTAAAAGATAGTAACACAGTAGTAACTTTTTTTTTCTTCTTAGGCTGCAGTTTGGAAGGAGCTACTGTTAGCAACTATTGGAGAGCAGTTTACAGACTGTTGTGCAGCAGGTAACTTTTTAAAGTAACTTAAGCTAGCATCACAAATACTGGGTTTGAATGCAGAATATGGGAACAGTACTAAAAATGTAGGACAGGGCAGGAAATCTATTGGTACCCATTTGTCACTAAAAGGAGGACAAGGTTTTCTGGCTGTCTCAGGGCAGAGCAAACTCTAGATTTGAGTTCAACAGCTTGCATCTCTTGGAAGCCAACAAGTTTTCTAGAGTTTAAACATCTGTCTATTGGCCAGCGTTCAAATGGTTAATGCTGATTCCACAGTGTCAGGATTCTGGAACCCTATAATTAAATTTTCATACTAGATTGCTTGTACTATCTCAGTTGGAAGTGGCTAAATTAGATAGACACCCACATTACCCCTCATGGTCTCTGTTGATTCTCCTGAGAAGCTTATGAGTTGTCAGGGGAAGCAACAGAGAAGACCTGAAAAAGGGGAGCTGAGTGTTTTGCCCATGGTTACATTAAACTCTTGTAGCAGAGCCATGATCCAAATCTGGGTCTCCTGAATCCTACGTTAGCGCTCTAGCCAAAGGTGGTATTTTCATTGTCACTTAAAAATATTGCTTAGGTCAAACTTAGTCTTTAGTGTAATTGTGTTTACATAGAAAAATTTAAAATACCTTGCTGGTTTACTGGAAAACAGTCATTAATCATCCAGAAACTAGTACATGATTTTGTTCAGGTGTAATAATTCAGTGAAGTCATTTTCAGAGTAAATTTCATCTCTATGCTTGCAAGCTTGCATGTTTTGTTTGGAAACGGTCGTCAGGAGGGGCTTGTGAGTGCTATCTTGCCTGAGATGTATCATCAAATGCTATATCTTAGTTATGAAAAGCAAGTATGAGTCTGTGACCATGTCATAAGCTAAGGTTCAGTTGCAGAACTGTTTCTTGTTCCTGGGTAAAGCAAATGATTAACTTGTCAATCCAGTGGCCTACAGGGAATGAATTCCGAGAACTGATCACTAAGCTAACTTTTCACTTTAACATGATATTTTCAATCGTTTCTTGCAACCGTATTTACTTCTCCTAGACATAAATGTATATTTGAAGTGGCTTTTATTTAATGATAAGGAATATCCCATTAGGAAGTGTTCCATCCCTGCTTTATAATTCAGGAGAAAAGAATTCAGTGTCTCCAATTCACAGAGCAACTCAGCAAAGATTTTTCACACAAATAGCATCTCTCAAACGTAGAGCAGGCATATTGCATTAGGTTGCTTCTGATATGTTCAGCTTGGTTGTTTTGTTTTCTTTTTTCTAAAAGGGTTTACTGAGCCAGTTTCTCAGATAATATATTTCCTTGCTTGCCTGACTTACTTTCAGGATGATGAGAAAGAGAGTACAAGCCTCAAATCCTTTATCTGCAAAAGACATTTCTAGTAGGTGCTTTTTAAAATCCTCCGTATGCATAGTTGAGCTGTTATCAAGAAGAAGGGAGAGTTTCTGCCCAGGGAAGGGGGGGAGGTAATCAGTGGGAGGAAGGTAGAGGCAACCTTCCTTTTCAGCAGCATCACGGTCTCAGATGGAGCTATCCACACAACTGTATCCGGAGGATTTCGTACCAAGAAGTGCTTCTCCGCTCAAGTACAGAGTCACCAACACTGGTTAGCAGCAGCAGCAGCAGCAGGCCTGACTGGTTTTGTTAATTTTTTTCTGCTGCTGCTTTGACAAAACGGAAGGGGAAAACAGAGCAATACAGCTTACAGTTTGGAAAAACTAATGTACGATCTCCGCCAGGCACTGTTCATGGGGTATTAGTTGTTTTTTCCCCCAAAAATTTTGCTTACTATAGTAAGTTGCTGAAGTAAATTACCTTTAGTAGTTTATGTTACTAACTTCAGTGAATATTGTGATTGCCTTCTAGTCAAGGATAAGAGTGCGACAATAAGGATGAGTAACCCTGTGACAATTTATTAAAGCTATTGTGAGGTAATATTTACAATAGTTTCTATGAGTAATAATGTTTGTTTCTCGCTGGTAACTGTTTTGTCTGGTTTCAGCATTGGTGTTCTCTTTGTTGGAGATTGCTCTCTTTCATTGCTTGAGTTTGTTCAACTTTTGGGCAGTGTTTTATAATACATAAGTATCAAATTAGACATATCTCACTTTTAAAGAATTCTTTAATAATGCTTCCTGTTCTGTGCAGATGATGAAGTAATAGGGGTTAGCGTCAGTGTTCGTGACCGTGAAGATGTTGTACAAGTCTGGAATGTGAATGCCTCTTTAGCAAGTGAAGCAAAAGTTTTAGAAAAGATATATAAACTTCTACCACACACGTCTTTTAAAGCAGTGTTCTATAAACGTAAGTATTTTGTATTAGTTCATTTCTACCCTCCCTAGAGAAATGAAGTACTAGCAGGATATTTCCATGGGCATAACCTGCTTGATTCATCTTTAAAGATTTAGAAATATAGCATCTGTCATTGCATTCAATTTTTTACTTCAAAGTTATAGATGGTTATGTCCCTTCAATGTAAGAATTAGCAATCCTTCAAAGTATAGAATATTTTAATTTAATTTTAGAATATACTTGATTTCATATTTAATATGCCAGATTCCTAAAATGAGTGAGGTAAATTTCTTGATAACTCTCAAGATTGCATGCTTTTTAATTTAGATATTTATGTGGTGCAACCGTTTACGATCAGGATTTTAAGGGATGTCTTATTTTAGGCTGTAAATAAATGTACTATCAGAATAGTCTGTTCCCAGAATCGCTTGTTTGCATGTTGTGTCTTCCTTGACCGCACATCCATTGTTATCTTCTGTTTTCATCTTTTTAACTTCTTGGCAAAGCTTACATGACAAAGTTTACACTTTTTATTTTTTCCTTTTTCCCCTTTGTCTTCCCTAGCGCACAGAGAACATCATGCGTTTGAAGGCCGACGTGGAAAACAGTAACTGCAGCCTGTACCAAGCTCGTTCTTTGTTATTTAGTGTTCTGAAGCGCTCTGAACGGGGAGAAGGATGGGTGAAGCCCTGCAGGAGCACCACATGCAGCGTCCTTTTGAGCTTCTAACGTTTCAAATTGGGCTATTGCTACTGAAAATGAGGAAAATGGTTGCCTTGATTATGAAATGCGCCATTCATTACTTCTTGTTTGGCTGTATTTTTAGTTCTTCGTTGTTTCTTCAAAAAGATACTTCAGTCACTTTTTTTTGGATCAGATTATGTTTCTCTCGTACTGTTTCAGTAAGAGAGAAAGCTTTCATTTTTTCTGTACTGTACGTAGTTAAGTGCAAATGTGCACAAACATGCTGTGCTGCTTTTTCTAGATGTGCTGTACATAGAGGAATACTGGCTTGATGAAATGTGTTTTCAATTTTTGTTTTGAAACATTCCTATCATGTTAAGATTTACTCACTGTCTTTGTCCCAAGAGAGGAAGAAATTGCACTGCGTTATTCTAATATAGCATGTAATCTGGTCTTGCACTGGCAATAGCACACATACTGTAAGAGTAAATAATAGTCACTGAGAGACTAAAGAGAACACACTTACATTAGGACTAACCCTCCGCGAGATGACGTTAACCGGTGTTTTAACTTTAGTAGTTTCAAAAGAACACTTATTCAGACTGAGAGATCTTTCAATAGGAAACCCTACAAACTCTGCATCTCTCTTACTTTAAGAGAGGATGGTGTTTTTAATGTTTGTATATTGTATGCTTCCTTACGATATTTTTCTGTACATTCATGAAAAAAAGTGTCCTGAATCATTCTAATGCATTTGCCTAACTGGATCCATCCCTCACAATTCTTAGGTTGTTTTAGGCCTATGCATCACTGTCAGAATTGCTGTTGACTTCAGTGCAAAGGGAAGAGATCCCATCATATGTAGTTTCAAGCTATCATGGCACCTTAAGTGAGTTTTTTTTTTTATTTACAGAAAAGAAATGTATTTTGTTTTGCAAAGTGAATGTGAATATGAACCATGCTATTCTTTTAAATGTTTGTCTATGTTAATTATTTGGAGTGTCAGTTTGTTTTACTATACTACCAAAGATTAATATAGTTCCATTTACAAGAAGAAGCTGCAAAGTAGAGATGAATGTACACTCCACTGAGCATTACTTCATTGTTAAGAGTTTTTGTTTGGCAACTGTTCAAATTGCACTGATTTCCACATGTTTAGTATTATTAAAAGGCAGCCATTAGAATCAAATAAATTTAAAAATAAGAACCACATTTGAGGTTTTTTACAACTTCACCTTTATTTATGAATTAAAGCTGTGCAGTTAATGAGCATTATTAATTAAACAAGTTTTCTAAAATTAAATGTCTTGCTTCTGTAATTGCTTTCTGAGATTAAATGTTATTGGACCTTCTTTTTCAAACCTGTGTATTTTTCAGTGAAACTTTTTTTCAGAAGCTATCTACCTTTTGTTCATAGATAAAAATGTCTTTTAAATGGATTTTTTTTGTTAAATCAGAAAGGAGGCTTAAAATTTAGTAGTGTCTCTTGTAGATTTTCAGTTAATACTTAAGATGTTTTTCTTACAGTTCTTTATATACTTTATAAAGTATATACATAGACTGAGGTTTCAAAATAGAAAATATAGAGACTATTACTAGTTTAATTATTTGACATTTTATAGTTCATATTGTTGCAGTGACATTATATGATTAACTCTGGTTTTTACCACTCTGCTTTTCTAAGATGCATCTAACGCCACAAGGATTTCTTTTTATGATATTATTCCCTTTGGATTACCCCACAATTGTCTGAGACCTGTTACAAAAAACAGATTTTTTAATGTTATACTTAACTACAAACAGGGTTTGAACTAACTGTGCAATTTCTTTAACAGGTACATCCTCATCTATTAGATGTACCTATTCTAGCCTTAGACTGGCTAGCTCAGGTGTTGTTACAGGTGTAGCTCTGTCTGCACAGAGGCCAACAAGGACCGATACTGTGAATGCAGGGTTTTCAGGTAATACGAAGGACCGTGATGTCTCAGCAGCTCTGTTAGCACTGCCCAAGTCAGCTGAAATGTGACTAGGTTGCAGGACTTCATTGGAGAGATACTTCATCTTATTGGTAAAATGACATCTTTAAATAAGAGAATGTAAAAAGGTACTTTACTTTCAAGGTGAAATGAGCTCATTTGCTGTGGCAATGAGTAAAACTTCAGCTACTACAGTTTTTACTGAATAGGCTTTGATGTAAGTGCATGTTTAAAAGACTCATTTTCATCCTTAGTGAGGCTGGTGTTCCTCTTTTTCTAAAGAGGGGGTAAAAGAGGGCCTCAGAATATCAATTACCTGTTACGTACTAGCTGATATTTGCAGTTTTGATATGTACAAATATGGAAAAGAAAAGCCTTCAGGCCTGTATTATAGAGTCCAAAGAGTGACTTCAGAGAAGTGAGGGTAGAAAACTTTCAGAAAAATGTTTTCAACAGCTTGATGAGCAAGATTTCTCACTTGAAATTCTGCCCTATCTGTGGAGGATACATGACTGGAATACTAACGGGAAATTAATCATATACCTCATCCTTCCCATGCTTTTACTTTTGGAAACAAGCCAGCATGTCTTACCTCTCCTCCAGCTTTGTCTGGTGGGAGGAAATTCCCTGCGGCCTCTCTGGCTGCGGATCCGTTAACTTCAGGAGAACAGTATCTGCTGGCAGAAACAGCAAATTTGGCGATGTAACTGGAACTTGCTAGTTAAGATATTACATTATTCATCTTATTGAAGGGAATGATTTTTATGTGGTTGCCTTGCATGCCTCTTTTTGCTTGAAGACCTCTGTGCTCAAGCATTGAATAGAGGTTGAGAGAGATTTTATCCCAGCTGTATCGTGTCCCTATAAGAGCTAGCTAGCCATTGTCCGCCAAAGTCCACATTATAAACTGTTGTCAATTTTTTATTGTTCTAAATCCCCGCTCTATTATATAAACTCAGGGAGTGTTCTGTGTAGCTTGAAATTCTGGTGATAATTGTTATTACTGCTTGATATCCAGGTTGACAAGGATAGCTTCTGACTAAAATTCAGTATATGCCACAATCCAACCTTCAGCTTAGATCAAAATGTGCAATACAAGACTACAGGAATATGACAAATTGCATTTGTGAATTTTTAACATTGCAAGCATTAAATCTAAAGACTTTGTAAACTTTCCAACTGACTGTCCTTTCATCCAGATGGATCTTTATAGCACTGATACATTTTTACAAAATGATGTTAACAGTTAATTTTTTAAAGTCTTTGAAGATTTATTACTTTTACCTGGAGATCTGCTTTATTGAACATGATTAAACGAATCCTTCACTACTTGAAAATCATCTAAATTGTTCAAATGCATATCAAAAGAGGGACTGCACAAATTCCAATCAAAATGAGTTTCTGGTGGCATTTCAACGTAAAATTAAAACTTCCATGACTACAGGCCACAAAGAAATTCCAAATATCTCCATGAGCTGAACTAAAGAAGTGTGGTTCCCTCTGATTGTCTCTTGTGGGGACCCACATTGGGATAGCTACTGGAGAGGCTTTCCCTTGGGATTTATCCCCAGCGTGGGAGATCGCACTGAAGCCTTTCACATAGCTGGAGTACTTATCTTCTCACCTAGGCAGCTGTTTTTATGAAATTTGTAGGAACTTCATTATCTTTGATACATCTGTCCTGTCAGCTGGGTCTGGCAGGCCTGGAGTTACTGCATCCACGGATGGTTTCAGCCTCCTCCTAGCTCATAGGAAGCAGGGCTGAAATTAGAAGTAGGGGGCAGCTCTAGTAGTGGTCTTTAAAAAGGTTTGCACTGCTTGGTGAGAGGCTATCACTGCATCTTCCAGGTGAAGGAGCTAGGTGCTGAGTAGCATTAAGTGGAGGAGCAGGAGCAGGAGCAGGAGCAGGAGCAGGAGCAGGAGCAGGAGCAGTGCCAGCTGGGGAAGGCTGGCCAAAGAAATGCTGACTCAGGCTCTTAGGTGGGCAGGAGGAAATTAATGGGCCGAGAGGGGAAGTGTGTGCTTGGTGCCTAGGACGCAGGAGCACAGGCCTGTCTCCCTGAAGATGGGCTCGCTGAGGGAGCGAGGAGCATGTGGACCCTTGCTGGGCTGCTCCTGGAGCAGCTGGAGCTGAGCCTGGGGTGGAGGAGATACAAGTGAGAAAAGGTAAGAGAAATACCTTTTTGCATCTGAATATTGCACTTCTTGTACTATGCAAAGTCTGGAGTTGCCCCAAGTACTGGTAAGGCTTGAAGGAGAGGTTGTCCCCAGTGAAAGGCCTATTAGGAAGAGCTCCTGCCTTTACAACAGGCAAAGGCTGCTTTGTGCGCTGCAATGTCCTCACCTGCCATCCAGGAGCAGCTCTGGGCCCTGGCAGCACACGCTCCCTCCACCTTCCAGGGACCCGTGGCCCAAGTAGCAGATCCTTATTGTGCTTGATGGTTTAACAGTTGCTGAAACATGCCACATCCCGTTATGCATCTGTTCTGATGCTGCTTATCGGCTTTCAGTCGTGCTCTGCGGCCCTGCACGTGATTCCTTTTGCCACAGCTTTATTTAGGCTGTTTTGTGTCTTCCTGGCTGAGGCTTCCTGCTAGGCCAGCATGGACAGTGGGCTGAGCTTGCAGATCAGGTTCCCTCTAACTTAGGTGGCATTGCTAGTAACTCAGCGGTCTCGGTGGCTCCCCAGGCAGCACCACAACTGCTACTACAGAGATTGAGTCTTTCACTTCATAGGGATGCAGGGCTGTCTTCTAGGGCAGGCTAATTAACAGGATTCTGTTCTAATAATTATATAGCACATAGTATTAATTGCTATGTCTTCAAGAGATTTCATCAAACAGCAGACAAGGAGATGCTACTTTGCCTCAGAAGCCTATTCCCAATCAGTTGCTGCTATGGTTTTAACAACTTTTCTGGAGAATGAAAGTTATTGACTCCATTTTACTTATTTGTTTGCAGCTGTCATTTGATAGTTTGTCCCTGTTCTCCTGTTAAAGGAGCTGGTTCCTTCTATGGACCCATCTCAGCTTTGTAGAGCTTTCTGCTTCACCTGTTGCTTCTTGCTCTTCATTTGCTAAAATAGTCCTCATCTCTTCCTCTTCTTCTGCGTAACTGATGATAAAATATTTGCTCAAGAAGATTGCAAGACTTTGGGGAGGGGAGGTTAATTTCACCATAAATTAAGCTCTGAAAGGTGTGGTGCACTCAGTATTTATAGGTCATCCTCCCAAAAGGAGCAGCTGAAGGCAGCTGGTACAGCTGAGTCTTCTCCAGAGTTTCAGCAGCAAGTCCAGGACCTGCAGGTGACTCACAAGTCCTGATAAGAGAGGGCAGCTCCAGTCCCTCACCTGCAGGGCAAATGGTGCTCTTTGGGCTGGCAGAGCTGCTCAGGGCTTGAGCTAGCTGCAGGCAGCGCCATGTGCTGGTGTGTTGCCAGCGGCCCCCATACTGCTCGCTGCAAGGGCAGGGAGCTGCCATGAGAAAGAGCAAGCCGTACTTGCCAACTATGAGGCCATGCATGCGTTTTTCTGCATCTTCCCAGGCTTGTGCAAAAGCACTCGTGGTCAGCATTGCCTCGGGCCATCGTCTGATCGCCGGGCTAGCTGAGGCTGGGCCGTGATGGTCCTTAGCTGTCCTAAATCTTGCACTTTAAATGTCATTGGAAATGGCAGAAGGACTTGCTTGTGCTGTGTAGATGGTTGTAGAGTTTTGTTTTGGAGAGCGGTGTTGAAAAATAGCACGAGGGGAGCAGGCAAAAGGTAGAGGAAGACGTACTTTGTTGTTATTGTATGATGTGCCTTAGAAATGCTGCTTGATTGCCTCAGGGGAATGCATCAAAGCATCTTCAATTTAAAGCTGTTTTTTGCTGCAGGCTTTGCTAGGTCTTCTGTGAGCTTTTATTTCAGTATGGCAGGCTCAGAATGCGTTTGCACATTCTCATTGGTAATAATTAACTGGACTTAATACTTCCAAATGATGAATACGAAAGAAGTGCAGGTCATAAGGGGCTTGGTCAATACTTGCTCTTGCCAGCTAATAGGAGCACAAAAGAAAACACTCTTTATATTCTTCCTATGGCAAGATTGACCAAAGGGGATGAAGCTTAAGAGTCTGCTTAAAACACAAACGTGAGTGTACAGAGGAAAAACAGAGGAAACATTACTGATCCAGAGTAGCTTATACAAACACTCTTGTACCCGCTCAGTTGTGAAAGATGTGTTTTCAGTTGGAAGCTGTTCATTTCTTCATTTCTTCATTTTTTGTGCTTTCTCTTTTTTCATCTTTTCT